CTTACTCACGAATTATGAATTAAGTAATTTTAATTTAATCAGCCAGGTAAGATCTTGAAACTTCATTCTTAAAAACTCATAAAGATTTCCGCTATTAACATATTGTAATACCATCAAATATTCATTTGTTTTTGTATTTTGAGTTAATCCATATATCTCAAGACTACCGCTCAATAGTCTAAATTTCATATGATTGTTAAACTTTATAGATTTATATAGACGAATTAGTTTAATATAACTTATATTTTAATAAATTTTAAATAAATAATGACTAACTTACTTCTTTTAAAGAACCAGGCAATGTCTTGAGTGCAACGACGCTGGATGATTTACGTTCTCTTATATAATTATAATCATTACCATCAATTTTTCGTATGCCATCCAACCAAGTTGCAATATACACAGAACCAAATCCACCTTCGCCAATTTTTTCAATATTGTCTAGTCTATTAAATGGAATCCATTCAATCATATGTTTATACTTATTAGTTCTAAGTTGAAACCCTTTCATACACTCATCAATCTCTTTATTTCCGCTTGTCCATCTTAGAGTTACATCAGGATCACATGTTTGACACCATGCTTCATTCGTGTTGTATTCATCACAACATTTACATTTTCCATATTTAGAGTCTCTTCAAATCATCAATTATATTATCTCTTGTTAGCTATTTTACATATTTTAATTAATTTTTACAAGTAATTTTATGCTCATCGACTAGTTATACGAATAAAATCATGAGTAAAAGTAAATAGTCATGAACATGAATAGCTTGTTTTAATTAATGAATATCTTTATACATACTTACTAAATTAATGAACAAGATGAAATTAAAATGTTTATGAGTTAATGGATTATGTTAGCTTAGTATATTTCCAAAAGCTACTTTGCCAACAATCACTAACTATAGCCTTATGTGTATCTTAAATTATGATTAATATGTATTGTCGGTAAATGGATCTTTGCTAAGATTTTTTTCTCTAAAAATAGGGTCGTTTAATGCCTGGCATCATGAAATTTCCCGAAATTACGGGGCATACTATTCAGAGCGAGCAAACTCTGAGCTAATAAATTTCTTGGAAATCTGTACAAAAGAATAGTAACTATTCTGCAAGCCCAGAAGTTGATTCTGTCACGACAGAAATACTCATACCCTAATTGCGTGTTATGAACTTTCACAAAAATAAATTATTGATCATTATTTCTGGTTGCAGGACTTTCATAGCCATAGCTAGTGACATCTATAATTATGATAATCTTTTAGTAACTGATTGAAAACCGTATTTACCATTATGTTTAAAAACAAAGCAATTTCAAAAGGGTTTATCACAAAATCCCGAAAGACAGATTCCCAAAAGGACCCAATATCGACAAAGTTAGCTGGAATTAGTTATAATGCTGGCCAATTTAGTCGGTATTATATTCTTTCGGAAAAATGGTTTTTGAGATTTTGTAGTAAACTCATTTCAAAAAAGGGCATATGTGGGGTGGCTCTGGGCCTTGTGAAGGACATCCGAAAAGGTTGAGCAGAGTTCACGTGCACAGCAAGCAGGTGGGGAGACTCCGGGCCTTGTAAAAGGGTGAGCGAAGTTCCGAGCACAAACCTGACCCTTTAATGAAACGGAAAAATACTTATCTGCTTTTCGAGTTTGAGGAAAAATAAATTTTCAACTCTAAAATTTTCATTGGTACAGTACAGTAGTTCACGGTCACAAAGACGCAGTATTAATTGATCCATAATTAAGACGCGTTCTGCCTTTTTTTTAAAACTCATTATGGAAAAGTCAACACTTCTGCGTTTCTACGATTATATTAAGGATCTTGAGTTTGATTATTTAAATATATTGCCAGAGAAAGCATGGAAAGATCTGGAAAATGCCTATACTTGTCATCTTAATACAGTAGAACAGACAGAAGCCGTAAAAAAACTAAAGCAAACGTGGGAGATATGTTTCTTCTATTTTGTTTACTTGTAATAAATTTAAAACAACTTATTTTTGATTATGTAGACGACAAGGAAACGTTTTCAGAATGGTTTTATCGATATTTATTCACAAATGTGCGAAAACCTTGCAGAAGTAAATTATAAATGATATTACATTTACTAAAAAGAGCCTCCTCACAAGTTTAGGAAACTAATAAGTTTGTGAATTTGATTATAGAGAAAAGTACAAGTTGATTGTCATGGAGTTGCATATCTGTTAATGTGGAGAAAGTTGGAAAATATATCATGTCATGGACAAAAACTGCAACAAATGATAATAGTCAAAATCCCTTTTATATTTTGGGGGTATGTATTAATATTATTTGCTAGTATTTAATGTTTATATCTGGAAAGTTATATGTGTCATTTTTCTTAATAGAGCTCGATCTTAATGAAGGAGGATGAGGCTGTAGCTACTGATAAAGAAAGAAATTTAAAAAGGAAGC